ACATATATTCCCTCTTCAATACGAAAGTTCAAAATTCAGGCCTGGGAGTGTTTTTGAAATTATGATCTTTAAAAGACTATAATCTGGAGAGATAAGACCTTTTTAAAAATTTATCTAAATAACAGCATGAAAGGATCACTTATGTAGGAGCCTGTTTCACTGTTTAATGGGTGCAGATATTCACCATAAATTAAATCTAATCTGTGCTGAGTAGTTGAATTGCTGAGGAATCACTTCATTGGTATATGAAATATTTACTATGTATAGCTGGACAGCTTGCCAGAAATTCTGATGTAACATTAATGCACAAGAAAGAACATCCTTTCTTCATAAGATGTGAAAACATAAGCTGTGTTCCTCTTAGTATCTTATACAGAGTTTTTAAAGCTATCTGAATTGTCCATACAAATTTATCTAGAATAACTATTAAGAAGAAAGATCTTTTTAGGTAGAAAATTCTCTCTCTGTTGAGTAAAGTTGCTGTTATAAATATGAATATCCAAAATAAAATACGCTTTTATTTAAATTACATTTTTCTTCACCCTATTTAGAAATTGCCTTTCCCTTATAGAAGAGTGAGAAATCACATATTGCTTTAAACAATTTCAGATGCCCAAAAGAGAAGAGCGATATTGGGATCACTTCAAAAAGCACATGAACTTAGAAGCCAATAACTAACATTTGGCTGGGAATTATTTGCATGTGTCCTTTGAATAAGGAGCACTATTTGCTAAGAATGATTTATGTAGACAATTCAGCTATGAATTTCTATATTTGTGAAACAATCAAAATATGATACAAAGGTAGGAGAGACTTCAGGATACTACCTAAATGTTCTGGGCTCCCACTTGTAATATGAGAACAGGGTTTGCTATGTAGAGTAATTGATCTGCATGACAAATACAGGCAAGTTTAGCTCTTTGAGAGTGTTACACTATGCAAGAAAAAAGGGCATCAATAGCAGGTTTACACAGACAAGAAGTTTCCAACAAGTGTAGGCCACATTCCTTGCAGCTGAGGAGCCACATAAAAACCCCAGCCTAAATTAAAGAGCAATAAAAGCCAGTATGAACTGTGTTCTATTAAAAAGCTAATACTGAGCCATGAAAGATCAAGTTTACATGAGCAGCCTATAAAATTCTAATGTAACTATCACCAGGGAACTCTGTAGAAACCATCCCTCTGCAAATCCAAAACTATATTAAAAAAAAGAACCCAACAAACTTGAACTATTTCCAGGACCAGGAATAACAGATGTATTTGCAAGGTTAGAATTTGTTCTCTGTTCCTGATTCATAGGTGTATGTCACCAAAGTATATAGATAATTTTCAAGGATATGTTTCTCTGAGATGAAAGTGAATCCTCTGTCCCACCTGGTATAAACTTTCTCCGAGTTTAAGTTCAGGGAACCTGAACACAAGTAGTACAATTGCTTTTCCATTCTCTAAACATTATGGCTATGCAGTGGACTGCTTATGATAGTCTGAAGAACTCCTTTAGACCAGCTGTGAACAACAGTATTTATATTATTTTTGCACAGATGCTTGTAAGAGTATTTTGAATATTCATGCTTTATTCAAATTGCATGGAAAAGACTAGGTGCACAAGGCAGCATCTGTATGTGTGTTGGCTTTGACTCTAGAGTGAGGACATTTCATTTACTGAATGGTCAGGGAAAGAGTGCGAAAAAGAGGCAACAATTTTCAATTTATTTTCTATAATGCACAGAAAACTGCTGGAAAGCAGTCAGGGGTCAAATCTTTCAAGTCTTTTTTCCCAAGAAGATAAAACTGCCCAAGTAACAAGTGGACAAAGTGTTTCTGCATGAACACTGCATACATTAGGCTAAAACTCTTGTGCTAGTTTACTTTGACTCTAAAATTGCAGAATAAATGAAGAAACCATCTTTTTTTTATAACCTTGAGTATTTTAATTAAAAGGGGAATTGTAGCTTCTGACATTAGTGCTAGCACATTCATAAAGATTTGCAAAAAATGAACTTTTTTACTCACAGAAGGGAAGTTTCTTTCTGGTCCCTTAGGCAGAAGCTCATATAGAGCTTGTAGTCTCACTATATCCAACTAATACAGTAGCAGTCACATGGAGAATGCTCCTTTGAGTAAACGAGTGGCCAGATCAGTTGGCAGAAATCTTTTCCACAATTTGAATGCACTGTTAATACATAACACTTCAAAAACTTATTAAAGTATGACAGAGACTTCAGTCACTGAAGACTGGAATTCATAAGAGCAAAAGTCCTCTCCTAACAACTAAAACATCACTGGGATAACACTGGAAGCACTTGTTCCCGTTTCCATAGGCTCAGTAATTCTTCAGGTGGCCCTTTAATGAGGATCAGCTGAGGGTATGATATGCAATAGCAGACTAATCGGAAATCATACTTCCAGTCAGAGACTGGAACATGAACACACCAGTTCAAGATAATACCAGTCTAATCTTACCTATTTATTTAGGAGTTTTTATACATGGGAGCAGTAAAAAGGATACTTTAAAATTTCTATGTATTAAAGAGTTAAAAAATTAATTACGATTCATATTGTTAACTTTTCTAAATCAGTTAATCTTCTACTTAAAATTTTACTATTTTAAAAAATGTGTTTCATCAATAAAAAAGCTAGAAATTAAGAATCTACTTCTGACTTGCCCAGATTTTTAGAATAAAAATTTGGTTTTAATCTCCTAGTTTATGTAACAATTTCAAAGTTGGGGGAAGAGGATATGATGTTTACAACAAGCACAAACTTCAAGAATGCTTCTAGTTACCTTGTGACAGTTAAATAATATTCTTTTGAAAAAATAATACACATAATAAAGGACATAATGCAAATTGTTATTCCTTGACACTGCTGACCTCTGAAAACTTCCTGAAATAGATTAAATATTATAATCAGTCCAGCTTTCCAGATAAAATGAAATAATGCTTTGTGGCATGAACAGTTTATGAGAGACTGAATGGAAGAGCCTGAGCAGAGCAAAATTCAAAATGACTGACTTGAAAAGATAGAGGAAATGATGAATTCAAAAGAAGCAATAGAAACTGCCCGTCACGGTGTGCTCAGTTTGCAGTTAGTGCACAACATAGTCACTCCTCTTGGATTAATTACTGAAAAGAGGAAAGTAGGTGTGTATCTACTTTCCCCTATCTGAATTGAAAAGGAAGCATACAGGAAAGCGCACAGTAGGTGTACACAGGCTCACACCCCTTCTTCTGCAGGCATGGAATAAAGCTCTCATGGAGACATCCTCCTGGTCAGTGCTTGGGGCTGGGACAGGCTGCCTGGGTCAGTCTCCTCCAGACCTTCTCCAAACTTTTTTCAAGGCCAATCCAGGTTACAGACCCTGTAAGAGGTCCTTTTAACTACAGTCAGTGTCATTCCTGTGTTGCAGCACGCAATCTGGAGCAAGGTTTCCAGTGGAAACATCCTTCTGAAAACATCAGATGACAGGATGGAAACATCTGCCACAGTGTGTTTGTTACCTGCTAGATACATGATAGCTGGATCTATAAAAGTTTACCAAGTGGGATGGAAAAATGTTGGAGGTACATGAAATTTGTATCATGCCTGTTAGATTTCAAATGTGAAGCAAGAAAGCAAGGAGACACTGAGGATTTAAAGGGAAGACCTTTGCTGTTGAGGAGATTAAAGTGAACAAATGTAACAGAACACAGATGGTTTTCCAAAACACCAGATCCTGAGTCCAGAATGTAAGCTAACAGGCAACATCAATTCACAAGATTACTCATTTCTCTCCTTTGCACTTACTCTTTAAGAATTTGGATTTTTTTTCTTTGCATTGGCACAAGTAGAGGGGGACACCCCAGTGAAGTGTGGATCCAGGTCCAGAGGAATCACTTTGCAGCCCCTTTTGCAACTTTAATTTTTTAAACAAAGATTATGATAAGTACTAGTGAAAATTGAATAAAAAGGAGATGGCACTATTTACTGGAAGACCTGATTTTCTTTTGTGTGTACATGTCCAAGATCTTTCCTACCAGGGTAGAGTCATAAAACATATACGTCTCTTCATTGCTTATTATATTCCTTTCCTCTCTGGTTCTTTGTCCTTCTCGGTTTGTTTTCGTTGTGAAACTGTGAACAGCCCTGTTGTGCAGCTCTGGGGACTGAGAAATGCAACTGAAGGAGGACACGAAGTTCAGAGTCATAGATATTTTTACAGAAGTACAGTCACAGTTTCACTGCCAAGGCTAAACTGAACCCAGAGCAGGTATCCAAGTTCTTTATTAAACATATAAAGTTGCTCCTTAACCTCCCTATAATGCCTGTTGTGGGGGCAGGGGGCAGGCAAAAAAAGGTGCATAGATTTTTAATGATGGAGTGGTTAACAGGTGGAGCAAATGACTGAAAGAAACAATTCTCCATCTCACCCTTCTCCCTCCCCCCATCTTCAGATCAAGGCTTGATGCCTTACTGAGGGATCTGTTGCTGTCAACCATGAGCTACCAGACTCAGCACTGAATTGAGGAGGTAAAATGCAATGGTTATAATAGGAAGGCACTCAGACTGCTTGATCAAAGGGTACCTCTACCCTTTCATTCAGTAACTCTATTAACTGGTAGGCAATATTCTAGAGGATTTTCAACTCAGTCCTTCATTAGCTTGTGACTCATTAAAAATGAAGTCCTTAAGAAGTGTAGCATTTGGTGCATTTCTTGTCTTAAATCAGCTTAGAGAAACAGCTTATCAGACTTCTAATTTATTATTAATGTTCGCTAAAATTTCAGAGTTGCACACTGGAGGAAAATAGCTCTCACATCTGATTGCTGAAATTAATTTGCAGTTACCAGTATATTAGGAATTTAGGTTTGCACTACAATCTTTTTCATTAATTGCTACACTTGTTCTAGATTTCTCTAAGAAACTAAGTTAGAATGATACATTTGGGTTCAAAACTCACATAGTTTACAGTTTTGAATTTCAAGAGTAATAATCAAATCTTTCAGATATCACATTCTCACCTTTTTTGGAAAGGCGCTCCTCAGGTAAGAATCACAGAACGCTGTCTCTTCAAAAGCTTCATACTGCAGGGAAATTACAGTATAAAACTGAAGAAACTCCTGAAGATGGAGGCAATGTTAAGGCCACGTGGCAGTGATTTACAGTACAATATATTACAGAGATAATGCAATTATTAAAACCCTAAGAATTATAAACCCTGGAAATTCTAAGGTAAAATTAAATTTAACAAGAAATCCAAATAAAGCATAAAGAAATTAAGAGTCAAATGTCTAAATAATCTTAATTCTGCTTGGAGAAAATATCTTCTAAATCTCTAACTAGGTAGAAGTCACAATATTTATTTGCATAATATGTGTGTGTTTGTGTATATATATATATATATATATATACTAATACACACATGCTTTTGTAGATGAATCATGCCTTTCTGCTTCATAGTGTGTAACTGAAAGTTCATGAGAAACCTCTCTGTTCTGCAGGGAAGGGCAAAAATTACAGCATGCCTTTAAAAATCTCTTAATCATATCCAAGTCCACAAATGTAGAACTATTCTCAATACGAACTGTGTGTTTTTGCCTGGTTACAGTCACCACAGTAACACCCATGTAGCTGTTAAAAAGCTCATCTCCTGGAAAAAAAGAACAGGGTAAAGCATAAATTAGAAAGCAATATACATACCAGATATCTGCAATGCATCACAGGAACCTCAGCAGTACTTTATAGAATCTGACAACTAGTAACAGGTCAGTGCAGCGAGCACACTGCTGGCTACGGCTATTTTGGCTGCAGACTGGTACCTCGACAAGTCTGGAGGGGGAATGGTTAGAAAGACAGTTGGAAATTTAAAGCCTCTGTGACAGGGGCAGCTGCCTGGGGACGTGAGGACTGGAGATTCCCGAGCTGTCGTTAGGGCCATGCCTCTCTGCCCCTCTGAGAAGACACGTGCAAATGGGTGAAGGAGCAGATGCATGGTGGGTGTGCGAGTAGTCAGCCAGACCTGGCTCCACCGCAGTTTCCGTCCTGTGATGGGAAGTCTCCTAATCCCTGCTGCCTTATCAAACCTTGTCTATCCAAGAAGCAATGTTAAAAATGTTAAGCAGTTACTAGATTGAAATGGGATCCTGATGGCACCTTAGAACAAGAGCACAGATATGCCAACACAAATTATGAACTTCACAGAGACCGCTAAAGATAAATGATTGGTCTGACAAAAGGAGATAAGAAAGGGTGTTTGTTGGCAGTATCAGTTGCCTGATTTTGCACTCTGTTAAGAGACCTGCACCAAGAAAGCTTAATCCCCAAATCACATGTTCACAACTGAGATGTAATACTATTAATTACAGAGGTATTGCTTGTAAATCTCATAGGTAAAACTGATGTTACGTGTTGCCCTCTGTGCACATGAGACTAGAAAAACAAAGTATATTATCCCCAAATTTAAAGCATTACCTTTCTGAGTAGAAGATTCACATGATAAGAAGTTACCGGACATCTGTTATTTTCTGGCACAAGTGTCAGATTGCTTAATCTTAACTTGTATTAGCAGCCAATCCCATTTTCCATTAATCTCTCAAAAGTGGACATAGAGGCAGAAGCCTTGTTCTGCCTAGGAATAAACTGAAGCTGAGCCTCTCTCCCCTTCAGACAGTATTGTTCACATTGGCCCAATTTACTGAGAAAAAGCCACAGTCTTTTCTACTTCCCTGGAAAGAATTGCATCCAATTTTTGATGGACCTCCAACTTCTCCTAGCTGAACCACGGAACTGCAGGCTGAGTGTTCCCACCTTCTGCTGCCATGATATTCCTGCCTGAATCATGAAAAAAAGAGATTCCTTTAAAAGGCCACAGGCTCTTCATAGCCTTGAGAAAACTCATACAGAGCTTCAACTGTTGTTGTTCAACAACAGTTCTGGCCCCCCACAGCATGTCTGAGACGAGCATTCCCAAGAAGCTCCCAAAGAGAGTCTGCACATCACTCATGCAGTGCTGCTTTCCCAAACATCCAAGGGGAAGGAACATAGTGAACTCTACACTAGACATTCTCACTCCTGGGTCTACAACCAGCATTCTTGTTAACTTTTTATTTGCTTAAAGATCTGGTCTTACCCAGACAGGAATTGTTTTTTAGTTTGCCATTGTTAATGTATAACTGTCATGGTAGTCAAAAACGCGTACGTGGTATGAGTCAGCAAGAGAAGGTAACATGCATGGCGGACCTGGAAATTCTCTCTTGTTCTTTCTGCCCATCTTCTGAAGAGCCTGGTTTTGGTTAGCCAAGTATCAGGTAGTGCTTCAGAGAAACAACCAGGTGGGCTGAGGCATAGTCACAGAAGACAGGAGTTCACTGCTCTGCTTACATCTAGTGAGGAAGGCTCAGAGCTGGCAGCCAGTTAGGACAGCAAGACAAAGTCCAAGAAGGTGAAAGGAGCCAAGGGGAGAAACTGAGCACCGTTGATCCCACGGTGCCTCATTATTCTTTTGATTATAAATTCTGCTTTAAAATGTAACTTATAATTACACCTTTGAAATATAATGAATTTTATGTCAGACCCACTCCTAAAGCCAGCTTTTTGAAAGTGTCCAGATGATGATTTTTAATCAAGTAGAGGCTGAGCATGCATGTAAGGAGCACATGTAACAGAGATGCTGTAATGATCTCAGAAAATTATAAACTTAAAATGTGGTTTAGATCTGCATACCAATTAATGTCTATATAGGCTTCTAGACAACTCAGTTTAAAAGAAATAAAAAAATGTCAATTTACTGCAGCACAGTTTCGTTATCCAATTACACAAAGTATTAAGCATCTCATCATAATTAAAGCTTTTTTGTCATTTATCTTATATAGATTTTTTTCTAAGTTTAACCCTAACTCTTTCTGCTTTATGGTAATTTTCCAGGGAGTAATTACTAAATTTCCATAGCAGTAATTTGGATAGCATAAGAACATGTAAACTCAGCTTTGCTCCCCTCATCATAATGAAGATTTTGACTAGAAACCTGCTTTTCCCCTTCACATTATTTAACGTGACACATGATCAATAACATGAAACTGCAGAAAACTTTCTCACATGATAATTCTATTGATTTTTAAAAGAAATAATTAAACTAACTGTTAAGACCACGTTCATCAATACAGTTTGACTCCTTTGTTCCCCCCTCCTGAGCTGGACAAATCATTCAGGGTCTCCTGGTTAGCATATCCAGTTTCCTGGAGATGTTGCACCAGTCTGACAACATACTGAACAGCCATTTTATACCCTGTTGTGCTCACATCCATCTGCACACATCCCCACAGCTCCAAATCACACCCTTGTCCTGAATCTTCTCTATTGCATCGTACATTCCCAAAAACCTCCATCTCCATTCTCTTTTATGTGCTCCCTCAGTTTGCTTTTCCCTTCACCATCAGGTTCCTTTGCAAAATCATGAATGCAATTCTAGGAAAGACATATTGTATTTTTCACAGATAACAGAGATAGAATGCCAAATTGTGTTAAATGCCAAATTTCTTTCCACTTTGATGACAGAAGTGTATCTGCAAATTAGCACCTCTGCTCAGACTGTACTTTAACAGGACTTTACTACTAACTAGTTCTCTGAAAGACAAGGCAGGCCCCTGGTAGAAGGTGAAATGGGAATGCCAAGAAAAGCCTCCTGGGTTTCCTCTAAAAGCAAAGCAGCTTCTCTATAGGGATGGTTGGCTCTCATTTTCTCTCACACTCTGATGCCCTTGAGACCTGTGCCATAGTAGCAATAAAATCTCTCCCCAAGTGAATATACCTCAATTTCTCTTTCACTTCCAGTGATCCCACTAACACCTTCATCAAAGCAGCTGGCAATTTGTGCTGCCACTGAGAGCTGCTCCTTCACCCAAGTGGTTGGAGCAAGGGATCTCTTCTGTGGCAGAGAGACTGTCAGCCTGGCAGTATGGTACAGGCCATTATGGAGGTACACCATAGCAGCTGGAGAAGGGATTCTTTAAAGTTTCTTGATGAAGGTCATGTAAAATGTTCATGGATTTGGTTGTATTCAAGGGACACTGTAGCATGTGTGTAGGTCACAGATGATACGCTGATTATCCACCTCTGCAACAAGTGAGAAAAAGCCTTCAAAAATGTAGGTTGGTAAGACTCAAATTTAATACATTCTGCAGAATGCACTCTTCTTTACATGGAACAACAGATTTAAAACATTAGCAGCAGTTTATGCTGAAGAAACTGTGGCTGAACACCATAGAAAAATTACAGAAGATGGTGCAATGCACAGCCTAAATCTGACACACTTAGCATGGTGGAGCACAGCAGCCCTGGCAGACCCATTACTCCCCATTCAGCAGTCACAAACACTTCTTCACTGACAGAAATACTCATCTACAACATTCTTAAGATCTACTGGTGTTTGCAACTTGCAGGATTTTCCTGAGAGGAGTAGGAATTAGTATGTGCCTACATTTGGCAACGTTATTTCATGTCCAAGATAGGTTACAGATAATATATAAATCTCCCTGAAAAATAATGCTCTTTCTGGAGGTGCCTGTATCTCCTCAACAGCCATGCAACTGGATGGCCCAAGAAATGACTGTCTACAAATAGTTTTATTTTAAAAATAACTTTTTAATATGTATTTCAAAGGCTTATTTACAGTAAGTACAATCATTAACTCTGTTAGGAACACAAGCGCTTGTGCAGATCAGCACACACATTTAGCTCTCAGGTTAATGTAATTTTAAGCTGCTTACATAGTTCCAAAATTCAAGATTTGTCCCAGCTGACATGGCTCTAACAGGTGTAATCGGAACAACAGACAAGTTACAGATCAGAATAACATAAAAAACATTCATTAATTCTGTGTCCACACTTAACAAGCTTTCCTTCTAACAATTTACATTGTGCATATCACTGTAACGGATGAACATGTAACAAAGGCTTCTACCGAAGATTAGCAGATTCTTTGAAATAGTTGAAACTCGATATACTACACTCTAGAAAAGAATTTACCTTTTGTCCTGTTTAAAAAATAAAATTATGGCACGTCTTGGCTGCCTTTCAAGTGCCAAATTCAAACCACAGTGCATGCACCCAGCTCCCATTAAAAGCAGTGACAGATGCAAAACACTGTCCATTTGGCCTTCACTAAGTGAAATGGAAAGGAAAAAAGAAGAAAAAAAAAAAAAAGCAGATTTTGCTAGAGGTCACACAGCAACAGATCCAGAGGTTGAACTCGTGAACCCTGACTACTTCCCCAACATGGTTCTGACAACATCCACTGTGGGAAATTATGACAAACCGGAGATGAGGCAGTGACATTGATTAGAAAACAGTGACATTATAGTGGGGGGGAGGGGAGGACTGAGGATAACAGATGAAAAATACTGAAAGGTACCATCAGAAAGGAAGTAAGATGATGTGATGCAACAGCAAGCATAAATAACAGGAGGTGCACTGATGAGAGCCATTTTTCAGACATGTTAAACAGCTGATTGTCAAAACATTTTCAGTAAATACACAGACAACATGTTTGCCTCTAGTAGGTGTATTTACTACTGCATACAATGGCCTGGGTGGTAGGCTGATGTTAAGGGAAGACAACTCTTCTCTTTACTCCCCGTCCATCATAGCCCCTAACCACATTTGCAGCTACCTCAAAAATATTATCACAGTGCATTAGTTACTGACTGCACTTGGCAAAACCCACAAGGCAGCTATGATCAAGCCCTCAGTGTTTTGAAAACTTGAATTACTTTAGATTCCATATAAAAGCTGCAAGACTCATCAAAGGGTAGACTCTTCAAAAATGCACTGCTGAAGTTGCTGGCACTTACAGCATAAACCAGAAAGGTGCTGTGACTGTCCCAGAATAGGACACCTCACATCTAGGTGCCAGCCAGCAGCTCACCAGTGGAGTCCAGTACAGCCAACATGGCCCTACTTCCCAGGATAGAGGTGGGCTCAGAACAGGAGACTGGAATGGACATGCGGGACAAAAAGAAGGGAATGTGGAAGACAGCAAGAATGGCTATGTCCAACCTCCTGAGCCCTATTTATCCCTTCTGAAATTACCAAACACTACACTAAGCTGAAAGACCATATGAGATCTTTTTCCCTATTGTTGGCCTATTCTGCATATGCCTGAACAAGGCCAAATCACATCCTTATCCTTAAAATACCAGAAGTGTTCTTCCCAGGCTTCAGATAAAACTACCTCTTAACTAAACCCATCTTCCTGACTACCAAAACGCCTCCTTTCAGGGCTCTATAAAAATCAAAGCTGTCTGACACACTTTATTCCCCCAAACCAGCATTTATCAATGCTTCATTTTTTAAATCTAACTGTTGTGAAACTACTGCTAAAGGGGAAAAAAATGGGACCCTGGTCTCAGCAGTTGCACCTATGCATCTGGAGAGGGACCAGGCAGAAGTCCTGCTGGTGGCACTGACAAAATGCATCTCTCCAAGGTCACCAGAACAGATGGATCCACAAAGCAGAGGGATGAATCCACCCCCATGTCCTACAACAACTCAACATCAGCACTAATCAAATCAGAAGGAAAATGCACACAGAAGAGGTTGCTATGCTTTCTCACCCCTCAGTACCAAGCCTTTTGCATTCCACTTCTCAGCCCAGTCTTGGAAACAGCCATCAACTCTCCACACCCTCCATCACTTGACAACTACAGTCAGCTACAGGGATCTGCATCCCTGGAGGGCTGTGTCTCCCGAGGAGGATGCAAGAGGCAGAGAAGGGGCATCATAAGCTGCGGCCACAGATCTGCTCGATGTGGTAGATCTCCTTGGGACAGTCAGCAGACAAAATGAGTGGTGCATCCTCTGTTATCACAACATCATCCTCAATGCGCACACCAATGCCACGAAACCTCTCTGGGGCACTCACATCATCCTCAGGGATATAAATGCCTGAAAGATGGAAGGGAATTAAAAAATACAACACTCAGCAGAACACCTCATTTCCCATACTGTACCACCATGAGAGCAAGATAAGATTTTCAGCAACATAACATGAGTTTGATCCGGAAGTTTTTTAATAAGGAAAGCTACTCTTTCCCCTCACTCATGGCAGTTAGTGGGCTAAGAAAGGGAAGTCTCCCTTAGTGCCTACAGACACTAGCATGTTAATAAAAACCTCCACAATTACAGCTGGCCTTTCTGCACTGCTTGCTCTCAATGCTATGTTCACAAGGATGATTTTAACAATGTTCTGAATAGAGAGAGAGAAAAGCCAAGCATTAAATATCAGTTTCCAGCTGACAGCTCTAAGAAAGAAAGATTCATAGTGAAAAGTCTAATTTGCAAAGTTAAGTTGCGAATGCCTGTAATTGCAGACTGCATTGCTCAAGAATTACACTACCAGTGATAGTCACAGTAACACAGAACACAGCACAAGTGAATTCAGCCTGCTTCTCTGTACTGCAACTGACCTGCGCTGCTGTGGGTCAAACAGTAGCAGTCTGAGGTCTATAGTACTTTGCCTTCTGCTGCACAGACACTTTCTGAGAGTTTACTCTCACAATTTGTTACCTTGGTTGTGTCTGGGAGGGAAATAAGGTCTTCTAATACTGTAACCATTTTTAATTTCACCAGAAAGGACCTGAATGCTTTGGTCTGAGGGATCAACTTACTACTCAAAGCAATACTGTTATCCTCAGTGTTGGCACTGTTTTGTTCACCACTGACTGCATCGCTTTTTACCTGGTTCAATGGTTATCACCATGCCTGGCTGGAGCGGGAGTGATCGGGATATATCTGGGGTATCGTGAACATCCATGCCCAGGTAATGGCCCACATGATGTGGGCAGTACTTCCGAACAGCCTAGCAGAAGACAAAACAAGTGTCATGGAGGCAGTTAAACCCAGCCCAACCTCTTGTTCCAATACAAAAGATGGAGAGAAAAGACAGAATAGTCCTTAACTAGTGATCATGACTGGGTCACCTGGGGCTGTTTTCCATTTACCAGAACTGGATGGCCCTCAAACCCCACCCATAGCAGGTGCCTATTATGAGCACATTGCAGACTGCCTTTCCCTCTTACTTAAAAGAACAGCCCAAGCCCATCACCACCTCAGTATGTCAGGCAAGAATTTAGTTTTCAGCTCACTGAGTGTTGCTGCCCCAAACCTTTCCATCCCTTAAACATCCAAGCCCTGCATTGCTCCCATCAGCAAACCCTGACAACCAGAAGCAGCTGCTACGTGATGTGGCAAAGAGGTCTCCTATGAATGATAGAGTGAATGCTGGGCCAATTTCACTCAGCAGCTACAGCAGAATTTTAATCCACCTCTACAGGGTACTGACACCGTCTCCGCCCCGCATCATCCTAATCCCCCTCCCTCCAGAGGGGAGCTCCCTGACAGCAGGAATCAAAGAGCTAACTCCTCCTCTGACCCACGCTCCTCACATTTGCTGAGTACTGAGCTGCAGACGCTGGTCTCATCTGGCTGTGCTGCCGCCTGCCGAGAGAAACCGGCATGCTAGCCTCCTTTCACAGGCGAGAACTCGTGCTGTTACTGCATTGACACTGTAGGACAATTAACCTGGCACACATCTGTCCTGCTGCTGAAGGGGTAGTTCCATCACTTGGTTCCTTCATCTTTCTTGCACTGGCACCAGCAATTACGCACGTTTACAGTGAGTGAGACTGGATAAACTTCTCTAACTGCAAATCAATCCTATTTTATCTGCAGGTTCAGCTCTAAAGCAGACCAGTTTCCCAGTCTTGTTCACCAGGTAGCTCTGTGAATCCCAATACTGACACAAAATGATGACGAACAGGCAGCAGGTGGAATGATGGAGAAGAATGGGCTGCATCTTTTGGAGACAATGCAGATTTATGCTATGTTAAATAGATCACAAAACTATGTCAGCCTGCAGCCAGCTATGGACCCAGAATTTTGTGTTAGTGCCAATGTCTCTGCAGGTCTCTTCAGGCTGTCTGTACTCTAAAGCTGCATCTACACTAAAAAATAGCGCAGACCACCGGTAACAGACCTGCAGAGTGAAATAGCAAGTGGAACAAATATTCACACTGTGTACATATAAGACTAGGGGGTTACTTCAGACCAAATTGTGTGCTAAATGGTTGAAACATATCTTCAAGTTTAGCCTTGTCAAAAAGAAATCCAGTCCTGTGCTGAGACCAGCCCACAAGATGAATTAAAGCACTGTGCATGGTGACAATGAGAAGATACATCTCAAAAGCACACTCCTGAACCAAACTAAAGCCACTAATATAACCCAAGGAGAAAACAGTCAGGCCTAGTAGGGGGAAGCTGGGTAAAAAAATCAAGTACCTTGAAGAAGTGACTCTCAGTGCTGCTGCTCTTTAGAATCCCCAATTCTTTCAGTTTCTGTCCAATAAGGCTCAACATGAGGCTGTATATATTTTCTAGACTCATGCCTGGGGAGCAGAGGCTCAGGCAGGACTTCTGGATATCCAGGACAGCCTGATATAGTTCTGCTTGGGGTTCAGTAAACCTGAAAACCATTGAGAAAAGGAACAAGCATATTTCTCACAATTAAACCTCTAACCAGAACCTTTTTTTGGGACAAATTCATTTCAGTGTTGGAGCAGGGTAAGTCAGAAAGGAAAGTAACTGGCTCCTTACATGAAATGCCAGACAAGGCACCACTGCAACATGCCCTTCAATACACTGGGTAGAGGGCAGGGTTTCTCATCTGACAACCTAACTCTGAAGCAAAGTAAGGCAAAGCTACTGCAGGAAAAAGAATGCACTTGAGCCAAAACATACAGGAAATCAAACACACAACCACAGGGACACCACACCAGTGAATTCACAACAGAGCCATGTACAGGTCAACTAAACTCCTGTTTTCTTACACAGAGTCAGCCACAGATCAATACACAAATGCCCTCTCTGCACTTTAAGCATGCTGTAATAGCCGAAAATAGCAGTAATCACACATATTCATGCAGTAATTAATGAGGTGGGGGGGGGAATACAACTAATCATTCAGTGTGAGAAGCTTACAGAATTTGATCACTCTGAAGAACCACAGAATGGGACATGTTAAAAGCTACTCTCAGAGATTAAACACACATACACTCAATCCATCAATTATTTAAGAGTTTCTCAAAGTTCTTCAAAGCAGCCTTATTGCAGCATACCTTCCATTGATGGGCCAGGTACGTGTGATGTCACTTACGTAGCAGGAAGACTCACATCCACCGTCTAGCAAGACCAGTTCACCATCCTGGAGAATAACAGGAAAAAATGCCCTGTCAGTCAGTCCAGCTATTAACTCAATTTTTCTGTCTAACAGCAGGAAAGGAGATTATGTATTTATTTCTGCAAAGCAGCTGCAAAGATGTGAATTCCTTCTGCAGAACAACACCCCAGGTACTACTGTTTATAAATAGGCTATTCCAGTCGGATTGTTTCTCTGCAAGGTAGTCTCTGACTGTTAGGCTTGTCTACAGCCTGAACTCTTAACATGCTGATTTCTAAACACTTTGGAGTAAAAAAAAGACATTTTCCTTGAACTATTCTGGGCTCAGAGGCATCCAGTCCCATTCACATATGGATCACTTACTCCAGCAAATTATACCAGTGACTCCTTTCACTAGAAGTTCTCTGATAATGACTGAGACAGAAGGGTTTTGCAAAAAGCACATAGATTTCTGAGCTACCCACAAGAACACTAACAGTTAAATATTTAGCCTTGTCACAAGGTAGGAGGACCCAGCAAAATTCCTTCTTTGACAGTGTATCACTACTGTAAATGCACTACTGAATAGCTTGTACCATCTTCCCTGTTCTCTTCTAGGACTTTCTTGACTGCTCTGAGATACACTTCTGAATCTAGCTGGTGTTGAAGAAAAAACAGTTGGAGATCTTAACCTCCAATTCACTTCAGTGAAGTCAAAAACTGTTCCATGTCAATTAAATCACTGACTGCACATCTTCCAAAAAGCCAGACTGCACATCTACAAAAAAGACAACGGGCCAGAACAAAATCACTGCTTTGCCTTCCCTCTTTAAAGGGGCTAAACACAAATAAAGCAGTGAGATCTGTGAAAAGTTTGGATTAAATTCTCTATGGATTTGCACTACAAGTAATCCAAGGCCTTTTACAGAGATTCACTCCACAGATCCGTGACTGTGCCAGCAGCCATGATTTGGAATGACAAGGAATAATTCTAGCACATTAACGGAAAAAGTAAGCAGTAGAATTTCACTGCTGGCAGTACTTCCATTGCTAGCTACTATCAATATGTACAGTTAAGTGCCACAAACACACAGTAGATAAACTAGTAGTGAGCAGATCTCACTACTCCACTAAATATACGGGCCATTAACTATCCATTTCAATTGTATTTTTAACTTTTCAGAATAGCTGTTTCAATTCTTTAAGTAAAATATGAAATTATAGCACCTGTCCTCTTCCAAGCAATTAAACAAACTAAGTAACAATTTATTGGCTAAGGGAATTCAGCTTGTGGTTTGATTGTTCAGTAACTGCCTTATCGTCATTCATCTTGTTCTCTTTCTTTAAAGCTGAGTCCACTAAGTGGTTGACTGAATGAAGACCACATGAGGCCATAAGCAGCCTTCAGATGCCTATATAGCAACAAGATCTGCAGGAAGTAGCACACAAAGGAAAAGAAAGAGTCAAGTTTATGGGTTTAACCTCGTACTTAACAGTTTGGGAAAAACAAGTGACAGTCATTTAAATGAACAATTTTAACAGAAGCAACTGGAGTTTGCTAACATGAGCATGCCTGACCTTGGATGACAGTACAACAAAGGAGACTTCTTTCTGCCAAAAGCAGCCTGTCATATCTTTTGTATGTCTGTCTCTGCAGATCATTTCAAGGTCTGCTAGCATGCAAGCTTCAAGAAAAGACAATGCTAGTGGAAACTTTCATCCTGCATTAAGACAGAGGAAAAATATGCTACTCTGAAAAGTGAATCATGAGTAGAGCAGTGGGGGAATACTGCTTCTGAAAATACTTATCTGAATCTAAAGGTGTATTGTCAGGAAAGCTGGAGAGGGTTCAATTCAATAATATGAATCTTCAAAATAAAACAAGACACATTAATTTGCCTACAGCCATCTAATCCACCTCTCAACATTTAATGCTCATCCTTTTCCTCCTTGTTCCCCTTCCCTGCTTTGCTGGCCTACATGGACTTCAAAACGCTTTTCAGCTTCGCCAGAGCAGGAACACACTATTGCACCTTATGCTGCAAAGCAAGGCCAAACAACACAAGTGACAGCAGAAGGCCTCCCACAGTGCCTTCATTCTGCCTGCTGCGGTGGTCTCTCGCTTTTGTGAGGCTAGAAACCCACCCAGCACTGCACCCTGCTGCACACAGTGTGGGAGCAGACATGCTTGCTAAATGAAGTTGTTTGCAAGTCCTTCCACTGTTCTGCAGCAAGTGCAAAGAGGAGAGAAAGAGACTAGACAGAGAGAAGTTAATCTGTCACTGACTGTAAAACTAATCAGGGCAGGATTCCTTTCCCTGCTCACTTGAAAATATGTATTTAAGAGTTTGATCTGGTCAGTCAAAACAAAGAGCAGCTAGGGGATACATATGGGGACAGTGTGCCACAGCACTGCATTTTAAGTTACCGGACAACATATGGTTTACCTTGATGAGCTGATTGTTCTTCACATAGTGCAAAGTGTTTGATCTGTTGCCACCAGCAACAACAGGGGGGTATGCCAAGATGTCAGCACCACGAGCTCGGCACTCAAATTCAAACTGAAATATCATTCAGAGAGGAGGAGTCCGTTAGTGCTGATTCAGGTGATTAACTGCCACGAGGCTATCATAATTCATGTCCTGCAACTGTTTTTTAAATTTGTACATCAAAAAGTGAGTTCGCTAAATGAAGGCAGCATTGAAGGTTTTCCAAGAACACTGGAGAAAAAAATATAAAACTATCTGCTCTTCAAGAGAGTGTTTTAAGCTTGCATCTGGTCTCATGGAAGCTCTTTCTGGTGCAAGCTGTTCAATACCTTATCAAACATCCATTATGTTGTCATTAAGTCCAGGTGAGGATTTGTTTTTATATAAAATAATGCTCTTGGGTGCCATACAACTTTGTGAATTTTCAAAGATCCTAAATGTTAGCACGACAACAATAATTTTTTGTTGTTGTCTTTTAAAATTACGAAGTACCAGCATATTTACAGCAGTATTTATTTTCATGACTCTTTGAACTACGAAGGTCAGAAAGCATGCACTACCTTGATGTCCGAGGGACAAAAAAAAAAGGCACTGCAAGCCTCAAGATCTTTACCTTTCTTGTGTGGTGAACCTGATGAAAGCATGAAAATGAATAAACTTGTATCTATAAAGACTGTCTATATTCTCAATATTTTAATAACATGTCTTCTCTACAATTACCAAAATCACATGGGACAGAACACTCTAAGATGCCTACACATAGTAGGTTTTATGATCCTGATCTGGAGTGAAAATTTGATCTGTAAAATACACTTTAATTAAAATAATTTCCTCTACAAGTCAGTACTTGTACTCAGTGCCATGTCAGCACAGGCCCATCTATGTTATAACAGAGTGTCAAATCCTGCTGACGTTTCTCAAACAGGCATCTCGCTGCAATTCCTTACAAAATTCCTTACCAAATGCGTAGGCCAGTAAGTCCTTAGTTTGTAACTGAGAGGCATCTACACTGCTTCAAGACAGCTACGGTAATCTGATGTAGTAGGAGGCTAGAGTCAAGAGAAGCAGGCTTTACAAATAGGTGTTATAACTACTTACATTCTGTACAACAGAACTGTGTTATAGGATAAGACAACAACTATGTCTCTGTTTCACAGGTTTTGTATGTAACGACAGTAGAAAAAGACATCAATAGCAGATAATCTTAGACAACCACCATGCTCCTTCAATAAGAGTATGGAAAGTACAGCTGAAGAATTCCTCGCACTGAGTTTTCTGTGTGTCATAGAACTACAAGAGTTGGGTAAAAGACAAATCTGCTACAGTGGGAGGCACGTGATAGAGATCTGACATTTCTAGTCTCCTGGAAGGATAAACAACATCCAACCCTTCATCTCCCCTGCAACCATGAAGTACTCACCTTTGCATACAGAAAGGCTTCATCCACTGGGGATTTGCTGGCAAACATGGTCTCCATGAAAGCCTATGAAAAAGAAGGACCTTTCAGTTAGTAAAGGAACCTGAACTTGAGGGAACTTTTTTTTTTTTTTACCTGCTGCCTTTTGAGAAAGGCCTAAAAACAGCTGGGTCAGAACACAGGAACCAGAGGCAGCTGAAAATGCAGAGTGCAGTCAAGACTAGAACTAATTAAGCTCTGTTCCCTGTGAAACTGTATTTAGGGGCTGACTGACTCTGGTTTTTGAAAAAAGGATTAGATGATTGAAGCTGATCCCATAGGTTGGCATTTTACAAGTTGTCTCACCTATGGATTTCCTCACATATAATAGGAGTGCCTTATGGAGCTTTTCTTTCAGAGAAGGACAAGCTGTGCCTCTCTCTTCTATTCGGCTATTTTAATAATACTTACAAACATAATTGCATTTCAGGTAACTGTCAGATTTGTTTAAAACTGGTCAATGAGTTCAAATGGCATTTGAGAGAAAAGTGGGAATACAGAGACATACACAGGCAATGTGTTCACAAAAATCCCGTTTCCTCAAAATCAACAGGATAAATGGGAAAGAAAATGGCGTAGGGAAGGAGAGGAGAAGCTGGGAAGAGAGTGAAGAGGCTACCCCTATTCCTGAATAGATATTGCTCTTAAACAAAGTTGAACAGCTGCTGGCTTGTCTTTGCTAGAGTTACAATAATTGAGAGAAGCTGGTAGTCCAAGCAGTCTTCCTGTTTCTCTTTGTCATGGGGAGGGAGCTGAGCCCAGCCGATGGTTGAGATACAGCAGTTCAGTAACAGATTAGATCAAAGCTATCCTTCCAACCCATGCCACCCCACCAACAGCCCTCTTCCCTTTCTTCTTTAAAGGAATGCACTGGTTCATTTGGAGAGCACACGACCCCATACCTCTGCTGTCACCCGTCCAGCTATCTTCATCCTTTCAATCTCTGCAGGAGATTTGATCAACCGAAGGTTTTGCACCAGATGTCGGATACCCTGGATGTGGTTTTTGTTCCGAGCTTTTATCTCAGCCAGGGGCTGCATGTAGTCAGAGTGCAGCTCTGTATGCACTGGTTTCGTCAAGTCGTACCAAACAATGTTTGACTCACCTGGAATACAAACCAAAAGCTGACACAGATTAAAATAAAGGTAGAAATATCCTCCCCATACTGAACAAACCTTGCTTCTCCTAAACGAGACCTGTTGGCATATTTGAGAAATTAATTTCCTCTGAATTTGCACTTACAGACCACATAGACACTTCCACTGTTACATGATACTAGCAATCTCTTCAAAATCTGGAAGATTACCAATTCATAGCACGTAGATTGAATACACGTGTCTTGCACAGATCTATTCAGATTTTGCAGATCAAAGTTGCGCTCGTGTAAGCTAAGTAGCCATTGCACTGCAGCGGTGCATGTTCTGAACTGTTCTCTCATTTAGCCTGTCCCACCTGACGCTGTAAGACAATTTCCCTTTAACCCATCACATGGAATTGGGCTCATTATCAACTATGCTTCAGAATATCTTTGGGGAACAACTGGTTATTTCAGCCATTCAGAGAAGATGAACTTACTGAGGACAAACATATTTACCTATGTGGAAATTTATTTAGAACATCAGACTTAGCACCCACATCCTCCCCACACAGCATTTTAAATGGGCATGAGTAGAAAATCCATGCTGAGTCACAGCTAATGTCCACCTAGGCCCTCCTCCTTGGGTGACAGTAGCCATCAGCAGATGCTTACAAAGAGTCTCTAAGAAACAAGGCATTTATGAAAGAGTATTTCCTTTAGCACATCCTCCCCACTTCTGGTTTCTTCATTTCAAGGCTGCATCTTCATAACAGCAACTAACTGCTTTTCATGGACCTTTCCCCCACACAACTAAAACCTTTTGAATCCATTTATACTTTTGACATTCCAAACTTTCCATGAATGATTTACAACTTAAAAGATGTAAAAACCTGCCATGTGATTATTTCATTCACTGTTCCATTTGTTTGTAAATTATGAAAAATAGCAATCATTCTTACTCATCCTCTCTGTGCTTTCCATAACCACATACATCTCTCATACCTTACTTTCTGTTTTTCCTTTTTCAAACTGAGCAAGTTTTGTTCAGCATGTATCTCACACACACACTCCATACTTTTGAACATCCTTGTTGACCTTTCTGTGACTTTTCTACTTTCAATATATCCTTGTTTGAAACAAAATAACTAGAATATGACATGGTATTTAAGACTCCTGATTTCACTCTATTTATTTGTGTGATCCGCCAAGCACCTGCCCTTTTTATATTGTCATAAGCCTTCGGTTTCATTTTATAATGCATTCAAGTTCACCCTGGATTATAAATATTGAGGCTACATGGTGATACTAGGTGCAGAAGAACAAGTCTAAAGGACAGCAGTGTTCATATTTCAAGAGTAAGTCAACATCTAGCTAAAAAAGGTGAGGGGACTAACAGTCTCCCTGTGTGGATCATTTTCCATGTCTATTATGAATAAAATACCTTCAAGTTTCCTATACTTCATCTGGTTCTGGCTCTGTCTGCGAAAAGATACTAGAACAGTAATGTTTTGTGATGCTCTCGCTGCTTATCCTGTTCGTTACACTTCACAGATATGCATGCTGGCATTCACATGGGTACACAAGAAATTCAGAGGGGAGGAAATACTATTACTTTCAAAACTACAATTCCATTGGTGGCCCTCAAGAAGCTAACAGAATTTCCAACTGTCTCTGTCATACCGTCATACCCCCTGCAACTCCCCAGGTTCATGATAGTCTTGAACTGGTGTCACAGACCACCTTCCAAACCCATACCATTCAGACCTTGCAAACCGCCTCTCATCTCATTTCCCCTCCATCTTTTGTTACCTTTCAGCTTGGCCACCAAGGGTCTGAACTCCTCGATAGTGTAAGCTTCATCTACTCCTGTGAGAGCAATTGCCCCATCCGTGCCTGATCTGGGCCCATCCCACAGCTCTCGGCTTGGATCTCTCCGGGGCACAAAAAGTATGGATTTATGAGAGGGTAGCGCTTTTCCAGGAATGCTCTGGAGCACCAGGATGCTGTCAGGCTCCTGGAACCCACAGAGATACAGGAAGTTAGTGTCCTGGTGGAAAACATAGGGGATGTCATTGCTCATGTAGTACGTGGGGTTGGACAGCAGAATCACTGTGTGGTCCAATCCATTCCAGCCATGGGCTTCCTTCTGGATCAGTGCCATCAGTTTGTGTCGGCGAAGGGCATATTCCACCTGTGACAGTCCTGGAGTTACCTCTCCTACAAATACAAAACAAATCAGATTGAGAAATTCGAGGCGCCTGTGATATTTTACTAGTCACATGCCCGATTTCCGCCTACTCCTTGATGCTTTCATATGCATGGCTTCATTGTGGTCCCTCATTAGCCTTTCCAGTGCTCTCTCATGCACCACTTCAGCTTCCATCCCTATAGCAGCACATCCTTACGCAATCTGCTCCTCCATCGTGCAAAGACAGAAATTTAACAAATTGGATTTTCTGTTACGTATTTCTGCGCAAAAACAGAAATCACAAAACCTGGTAGAATTAGACAAACATCCAAACCAGATGGATGTTTTCAGAAAGACACGTAAAAAAAAGGGTAAGGGGCAACGCAAACTGGACTTTGACTGCTGAAAACTGATGAGTTTTACAGCATGTGGACATTGAACAGAAGATTACCTCCTGAGGCTGAGCATTAATTTCCTCAGATAAAGCTAGAATGTCTATTCAAATACACACTAAGTCAACTCATAAAGTAAGCAGTTCTAAACCATAAGGGGCGGATTGAGTGTTACACTACTAGGAGATCAGGCAGAAATGCAGAGGTCTGAGAGTCTAACCAGTCACAAGATTCCAGGCAGAAACAAACTATGAACTGCACGCTGGCATCAGATTCTGAGTAAAAGAAGGAATCTTCTGCAGGGCAGATGTAGCTTTTCTCAATAATTTACAACACAGAATTTTCCAAAGTTAAATACTATAATGACTCTAACTAAACAAACGATCTCTTAGATGAAAGTACATTTTAAACCACTCCAGTCACGGATATGAAGTACAGCAATCGAGATACTCATGAAAACCAGACTGAAGTTGAAAGAACAACCAACAACAGGTTAAGTATGTATTTTTAAAAATATGAGACTCTTTAACTTTGATTTAAAGTAATACATAAACCTTAACCAGTACTTTACATAATAACCCTAATTTAACATAGATTGCATCTTCATACTGTTAACCTTCTGCTTTCATAATCTTTTCTTCCTCTTTAATGCAGTGACAATTCTAGAATAAAAACTGAAATTTTACTTGTACTGTAAGTGGATTCTCGCATGGGTGGGGTGGGAGGGTTAAGTTCTATCCAGAATGTTTCTCCTTGACAAAAGACAGTTTAAGAAAATCACATATGTTCTATTTGCATTAAACTTTATGCCTTTTCAACATCATACATCCCCAACACCTATTTGGTGTAAAAGTTGGGGTTTTTTTTAAGAAAAAAACAAACCTACCAAATTTGTTTTACTCTGTAGATCTTGCAATGACAGAGAACGCATAAACTGTTTTAATGTAATCTGGCCCCACATTTCTGCAGTATTATACTGCAAATCTCCTATGCTTCTCTGCATTCCAGTCAACTTTCTAACTACCACAAACAGTCCACTGAAGTTTAGAAGCTGCAGTAGGGTGGAACATGGGAATCCCATTTGTCTCCTGACTACAAGGCCTGGAAATTCTCTTTGCCTTAAAGGCATTTACTTTTTAAAACAATAATCACAATTAAAAAAAAGTTGTATTATTTTAAGGAAAACACCACTCCTTCATTAAACTGAAAATTGATACAGGCAGCTAGAATCAATCTCCAGTTTCAGCTGTGAGTACTTTTAAAAGTGTCAGCCTCATTGACCGTGAGCTGTTAATCGGTGCCCTGAGCAACCTCGGCTAGTATTGAAGTTAGCTCACCTTTGAGCAGGGCTGGACCTAATAACTTCCTGAGGTCCCTTCTGACCCAAGCTATTTTATAGTTAAATATGTAAGTGCATGGTTATATAGTCATCTGTTCTCTTTGTATATCCATCTATGGAAAAAGAACACAGAACCAGAATGTCTTCCTGGACAAATTCTTGAACATATTTTTACTACTTTTTTTTTTAATTTAGATTTAATCAAGGTCATCTCATTCATACATGCTCATTTTCATTAATGTCATAACACTGCACAACCTCAGCGCTTCTTTCATTGGTGCCTTCTAGCTTTAGAGTCTCAAGTCTGTTCTTCTTTTCCTCACAGTTTGAATACTCTCCAGAAGAGATCATGTTCTTCAGATGAGTGGCATCCAACTCTCAGTAAGCCTCTCCCTGATCTTCTTTTCTGAATGACACCTTTATTTTGTGGCCCACAAGACACTGGATATAAAACATTCTAGCAGCTTGCACAAAGGACTCCCCCTTCATATAAACTGTATTGTATCTGCAGGACAGTGAGCTCCCAAAGATGCTCATGAAAGGTCTACAGTACCCAAGGGTGACCAAGCACTCCATGAGAAAAAGGTAAAAATCTTACATGTAAAGCCTATTTTTTGAATCAGTATAATCTCAGACAAGGAAATTAACTACTAAATATAATTACTGCCATTACTGCCTAATGAAGTTAATCATAAACATCTGAAATCATGGACATCTATATGATGCAGCAACTCAATACTCTGTCCTAAACAGCTTAGAAAAACAGGCAAGAAAGAATACCAATGATCAGCTCATACAGGACCTGAACCTAACCTGGTTTGAGAAGGTGTGGGTGTGTGAAGGGGCTGGGCTGGCCCAAATACCGGTTTGGAATCTTCTTCTGCTGGGCAGGCTGGATGGAATATCTTCGGAGAGCACATGACTTGCAAACTAGAGGAAAAGAAATGCACCATGTCAAGGCAAAAGACCTTTCCAGTTAGCAAATGGCAGAATTATACTCCAGTCATCTGACTCTTAGTAGTATTCACCCAGCTTATATGACATAAATATCCCTCCTTAACTTCTCAATTAGTTGTGTACCATATTAGTTTATGAAACAACGTGCACACAACTCGACTAATCATCAAATATTAATAAAACAGATGGAAAGAAATGAACATATGCTAAACCTGACAATACAGCAAGAAAACCTAGAAAGCTATGTTGGTTTGCACATGCCTGATTCCTACACTTGGTGCTCTCCCTCCCTGTCTTCCCTCACTGCAGGGCTTAAAGCACAATACCTGTATATTGTTTTTTCTTAACTATGTCTTCAAAATTACCACTCATATGGAACAATTATACAGTTTTCAAGTCCTTTCCAGTTCTTTTCTTTTACTAATAATGCCACAAAGACGACCTAAAACACCACAGATGTTTGCAGTGGTGCAATTTTTTTTTCTGTATGAGATACTTAAAGAGTCCCTGTTTATGTATTTAACTTACCTGACAGTAGCATTAGCTAAATTGAAAACAGTTCCACAAAAGTATACAGTTATGTATCCCTCTTCCAAATCCACACACAGCCAAAGCAGACAAATTTTAAAGAGAATTACAAGTGTGCATTTGGGAGCTGGGGTGTACATGTTAATTCAAAATCTAAAATTAAATATCATTGTTGCGCACTTTACCAACTGCGGTAAAGGCAGTCAGCCTTTCGCAGCTGAAGAATTAATTACATGTGCCTAGATACAAATCATCAGACACAGGGAAGTAGATGGTAATCAGTTTCCCAACATTCACCAGCTGATGTTTTAGAAACTGGTTCTTTTATGTCGCTTACTATGTGCCTACTACAAAATCAATTCATGCTACTATAGCATGGCACTGGATTCCTTAGAACAAATGATAATCAAATCTCCACTAGCATAAGCAAACACAACACAAGCACAACAGCTACCTGTCTTTCAGGGATCCGAGACTCAGAGACTTACAGCAAAACAAATGGACCATGGATTTTCTGTGGGAGCCAGTATGATAAGCCACTAATTGAAGGTTACTTATGCATGGTAACTGATAGTTGTTAACATAAAGCATTCACTGTGTGATGACTGACTGGATTAACAGGCTGGAGACGCAAGCAGTGAGATATAAATACAGCTTTTTGTGCAGTTTAAAAGGAGTGTTTTCACTGTTTTTCTCCACCTACACATAAGACAAACAGGATAGCTTGCAACGAGACGAGAGAACACAACAGGCATTAAATAAAGCAGTATTTCGAAGACAGCAAGGAGCTTTCCACATCGTTAGCTTTATTTTTCAAACAAGCCGTTCATTCCCTCGGATTCGGCTATGATTGAGGCTCCAGTTTCGCTGCCGGAGAGTCGCCTTCCCACGACCCTCGCACACGCAGCTAAACCGACGCGCGCGGGGGGGCGGCTACCTCACTACTCGCCCACCCCTGAGCGCCGCCACGGTGCCGGGGGAGAGGGAAAGGCTCCAAGCGGCGAGAAGGCTGAGCGCGCCCCAAGCTGCCGGTTACTCGAGCCGGGGCCCAGCGGCCCCAAGCGGGGCTGCGCCGCTTTGGGGAAACGAGGCGCGTGGGGGGAGGAGTCTCTGACCTGAAAAGCCGCGCCAGCCCCTCACCGCCGCGACAAGCCTCCGGCTCGGAAGGCGCAACATGTCCGAGCGACACGGCTAGCGCGGGGCCCAGCGGCCCGCACCCCCCCACTGCGGCCCGCACATGGACGGGCCTTCCCCCGCTGCGGCGCCCGGCGCTGACACCATCAGC